AGAGAGAGAGAGAGAGAGAGAGTAATTTCTTGTCCTGCAGATTTTTATGCGTGTGTTTTTGACAAAGAAGAGGACAGGGGGAAAGAAAAGAAAAACACTCTAATGTTTTTAGAAAAAAAATTACTTTATTATCAAGAAAAATTATCATTTTTTCCTTGCCAGACAGTATCAGTACAATGGCTTGATTTCTGACTTAATCTAGACTGATTCTTCTTGCTGGAATAGGAACACATAGAAAGAAAGTATAATGTAGGTATTATTTCATTGGGTAGATAAATTAATAAACATTCTATAGCATCTTGCTTTATTTAGTTTTGTTCATTTTTTAGATATACAGGTAGCCCTCATTTAGCAACCACAATTGGGACTGGCAACTTGGTCGTTAGTGAAGCGGTCATTAAGCAAAACCACAACTGTGTTTATGATCTTACTTCAACTTTCCTTTGCTTTACAGACCTGTGAAGGTCATAAATGTGAGGACTGAAATTACTTTTTCATCACTGTTGTAACTGTGAACAGTCACTAAACAAGGACTACCCATATATTCCATGTTTCTCATACATAATACTTCTTTTCCAGTTTTTTCCCCATAGAAACCCTGTGAGGAACTTTGGGCAAAAAGATAATTGTTCACCACAAACAGCAAGCCTTTCCAGGGGGTGGGGGTGGGGTGGGGAAGAAGAATTACTATGTAGTCTCTTTGTGCTCCTTTCATGTTGCTTTGGATCATCAGCAAACCATTCATAAAAGTTGTAACGGTCCCTTTAAACAACTGGAGGCTTCCAAATCCTATCTGTTTACCAGTTAGAAAATGCTTGATGAATCAATACAGTGAAGAGCCTTTTGACTCTTTGTGGAGTGCCATTTTGTGCTTCTGGGGATGAGAGGTTCAATCAAAGAGAGGTGTTATGTTTCAGTCCTCATTGTCATTATTTTATTTGTGTACTAGAGTTAGATTCCACATTTCATTCAGGAGTTCAAGGCAGCATACATACCATTCCCTCCTATTTTTCCTCACAACAATAGGTCTCTGAAGCAGGTTAGACTGAGAAAGTTTGACTAGCCCAAATCACCCAATTAACTTCTAAGGATGGAAAATGTCAGTCCAATACCTTAATCACTTCACCCCACTGGCCCTCATGTTTTCTTCTTTTTGTAAGGATTTAATTTTGACATGATCTGATTATAACTCAGTGGAAATATTAGTATAAAAAATACAGTGTTAATAGTGCCCTGACAACACATACAAAAGTAAGTAATACTGTTTCTTTAGTAATACCATTTGATTTCTTCTTGTATGTTAACCATAAATTCCTTAGCTATAATTAAAAGGTCTGGCAGCCTCTTAATATTTTCATGATTCCCTGGTTAATCTCAACTTTCCTACTGTAAAATGTAGAAAGAAAGATACATGAAAAGATAAACCTGAAAATGTCACCTTCCTTGGCAGGATTCTGATTAAATGTCAAGAATTTCATCTGAGATCTTTGATAGAGAAACAGCCTCAGCTTATTGACAAGTCTGGACTCTTCCCCCTTCCCACCCACACACTCCTCCTTCAATTAATAAATCCCTAACTAGAAGGGCAGCATGAAGCTTGCTGCCTGGTACGTAAAAGAGATAAATGGAAAATGGAGCATGATTTCACAAATGAAGTGAACGAAAGAAAAACAGATATGTTGCATGTCTGTGAAACTAAGAGAAAGGAAAAATATGTAATAAATCTGAATGAAGCTGGTCTGGTCTTGAAGAGTGAAGTTGAGGAATAAAGGCATAAAAGTAAAGGTACAGATTTAATCCGGAATGAAAGAACTAAAATGTATGTCAGAGAGACATATGAGTGTCTTTGGGGGGT